CCCGCCTCTACACGCACCACCTCTTCCTCCTTTCTCGATAACATACAGTATGTCCGTCACCGGCGTCGGACGCATCACGTTCAGTAACCAGCATCATTGCTATCGATTCCCCCCCTTCACAGAGATATCGCCCACGTTCAGCAACCACATCATCACCGTTCCACGTGATTATCCTCTTTTCCCCCATCAGGACGAAGACAAACAGCTTAAAGGATTCCGTACACATCTTCTGTAGAGAGAGCGAGAGGGATTCCGTACACATCTTCTGTAGAATCGCCGCACTCCCAGATCGGCCTTGGAACTAAGGAATTTCGCAAACAATCACTCGAACAACAACGCTATTTTGGAGCACCCCTTACTCCCCTCCCGAATTGCGAAAGAAGATTGCCCACCAATGATGCTGCAAACCGGTAGTATAATTGTTTTAAAAGGCGGAGCGTGGGGAGGGGGGGGGGAGGGGGAAGAGAGAGAGAGAGAGAGAGAGAGAGAGAGGGTGAGAGAGAGAGAGGGAGGGAGGGAGGGAGATGAAGCACGCCAATTAATCAATCAATCAATCAATCAACCTCTGATCCCCATCCATGGACGGAATGACCAACGCCCTTGGCATGCGAAGTACATGTCAGCAAGTTCAAGTTGGCTTCTGACGGTCGAAAGGGGCACCCTTTGTCTCCTCATCTGCCTTGGACTTTACTACTATGGGCGTTCTTCCATCCTCTCCCTCTACCTCTCCTTCCCTCCTTCGTCTCCTCATGGCCATGGCGATGACCCTGGCGATGATGACCTCATCTATGCCAAAGGCGTATTCGATCGGGATAGTAAGGAAGGTTCACTTCACTCAAATTTCACTTTACTAAAGTGAAATTTCACATTATATTACACAGTAGATAGGAATGCGAATTAACCACCGATCCGTTCGCGGATTACGGCCGAGGCTTCGACGTATATCGGGATGGTGCTTGAGCCCGGTGCTCGATCGGAGCTAATCGATCAAACCGCGGGAATGTTGGAGAAGGAGAAACCTTTGTAGCCCTTGTAGGCGTAATAAGCGATCCTGGTCACATAGAAGCCGGGCAGAAACAAAAGGATGCCAAGTAGTGTGAAAACAACACCGTGCGACCGGTCGCCGCCCACCTTGTCGTACATCATGAACACTCCCATGATGATTCCAAGCGACCCGAGGGTCAGCAGCAAAACCGCCAGAGCTATCTCTCTCCATGGTGGACTGCTGTGCACGATTAACACGCTGTTATCTTCAATCCCGGTGTACCTGCTGGTCATCATCTCTCTCTCTCTCTCTCTCTCTCTCTCTCTCTCTCTCTCTCTCTCTCTCTCTCTCTCTCTCTCTCTCTCTCTCTCTCTCTCTCTTGTGTGCGTGCGGATCGGTCAGTAGGTCTCTCTAGCTTTCTCGCCCCGCTATCCCTAACCCTGAGGGTCCGTGAGCACGGCCACGCTCGTGTACATGTGCTGCCAGTGCCGACAGTGAGCTCTAGCGAGGAGAGGAGAAAGGCGAGGGTTCAACGCCGCCGATTATGTACACAACCTCGAATCCTTTCTAAATTGGAAGGCGACGAGAGTTTTTTTTTTTGAGTTGTGGATCGCAGAAGCTCTCGATCCCGATTGCAAGTCAAGTAAGCCACCTGGATGACCACGCGTTGAGATGAAGCCACGTGGTTGATGACAAACGAAAAGATTCGATCCCTAATCATTACCAACGGGATCGCAAAAAGCGGAGTCTCATCAATCAGCAACACTCTCCACTAGAGAAAGACGACTCAAAACAAGTGCACCAAGTTGTGGGGTCTGGCTCCACTACTCGAGACTCAATAAAATTTTCTAGTGTGGTGTAGTTCTAGAGTTCTCAGAGTCTGGAGTAGCTCGAATTTGGCCTGGTCGCTCAGGCTCTCGCTCTACTCTCGGGACACGAAGTTTTCACGAGTTCAGCCTCGCTCCCCTTAGGGTTGGACCCCACACGCCGGCGGCAAGCTGTTAAGGTTTCTGGAAAGCGATTCGCAGATACCACCGGCCGATTTTCGTGGGGTGGAAACGGTCGGGCACCCGTTTTTAGGTACTAGTGGTTTAAACCACTACCGGTAGTATCTCCGAGCCTGTTTTGACCGAACCTGAATTATAGTGCGCGCGGAATTTCCCGAGCCTGTGTCCCGTGGTACCTTTCGAATTTGGCTTTTCTTTTTTGTATTTTTTGAAGCGGTAACGTTTCCACTTGTGGTCTTCTGGGCTCCCGTACGGTCGGACGAATGGACACACGTTAGGCAGGGGTGCCTGGTGGCATTATGCGAGGCCGGGATTTTATTTTTATTTTTTTCCCTCCGAGGTCGCGTGTGTCGGTTCGCTGGCGACAGGTAGTGCGGATTGGAGGGCGGTGGCCATCCGCACGTGGGTTGACGGATGGACGGACGACGATGGTTGCCATCGCCAGTGGCGCGTCCCGACCTCCGATTGTGTGTGTGTGTGTGTGTGTGTGTGTGTTATCCATGCCCATTGTGTCCAGCCAATCGACAAAGCTGATGACATTATATCTTCCCGGCGATTGGCCGTCGTGCGTGCATGGCACAAATCTCACTCTCTCTCTCTCTCTCTCTCTCTCTCTCTCTCTCTCTCTCTCTCTCTCTCTCTCTCTCTCTCTCTCTCTCTCTCTCTCTCTCTCCCCCCGGCAATGGCGTCACCTGTTGAGCGCATCAGTCCCACATGTGGACCCTCCTGGCCGCGTCACACAGGAGTTGGTCATTTGCGATACTAATGGAGCTTCCGTAGCCGCTTCAACCGAGTGCGTCAGCCATACCTCTCGCGAGCCCGTACGACATGATAGGGCCTACACGAGGTACAACTTACCTTCACCTACAAGAGTTGTCACCTCCTTCGATGGGCGTATCCCCACCGAGTTATCAGTCCACAGTACGAAAGTTCATCAGTTGCAATCGCAGAGGTGGGTCAACCGATGACGTTTCTCGTACGTTGTAGCATAGGGGGTACGTGCGGTCCTACGCCTCTATCGGACCCGCATGCGAACCAACGCATTGGGGGGCTGAAGTGCCAAGAGCGACTCGTCGCCGGTTGACTAGGACGCATCCCACTCACCACGCGTTACACCACGTTAAAACATAAAAATCAAATACACACACAAAACAAAACAACCGAAACACTCATAGTCCCTTTAGTATCCAACCCATAACCTTCCGACACAGAAATAGGATAGACGACACGCGCGAGACTTAGTATAAAATCGCGTGGACGCAGGGTTTTCTCATATCGACTGGCAATGTAAGTGTACGTAAGCAGTCGTAACGATGGAGTACTATGTAGTACCCATAATCACACGGTTGTCGATAGTCTCGAAAGTCGCATTCGACACTCAAATGTCGGCTGACACACGCCTTAAGGGGTTAATTTTTCGATGCTAACCACACCCTCTTTTGCACCCTGCAGAGAGTGGGTGGTACATAGGTTCATACATGTGGTGGCAGTCGTCTCTTGAGACGTGGGAGGCAAGCTCCATCATCCAGGGTCTGGAGAGAGATAATCAAAGGGTTTGACTTTGACGGTTGCTACGGACTACAGCGTCCACCTATAAAAACTCTAAAAGCAACAGGTTCAAAGAGGGTCTCCCTTTTCTCTCAATGCATACTCTGATTAACCCTTACACACGATCACAATAAGTCGTGCGAACAGTTAAGGCATATGTAAGTACATATATAAAAGGGGTATATAATATGCAACGATCACTTCTCACAATCATAGTGGGGCTTCTCCCAATCATATATATGTGTGTGATCGCAGTTAGTCAAATCCAGAGTCCGAACTACAAAACATACATGCAATCACACCAAAGATTCACCAAAAGTCAATGCACCACACGGGGTCAACTTCAACCACTCTCTGCGTTCATACCCCTCGCTTTAGTCATACAAACTTCAACCTTTGTCAAACTTTCCATAAATAAAATACTCAGCATCTTTGTTAAATTGCCATTCAATAAAATCCGGGTGAAAACCCAACGAAACAAATCAAACCACGGGGCTAAAGCCTTTAGATTGAGTTGGCAAAAGTGAACTGGAGTTGAATCATAAACTGACCAATCGGCAACCGATCTGTTATCAATAATAACATAAGATTATCCTTGTGGGATCAAGCTAAATCTAGTCCAATCATGTGACACAAAACAGGTCAATGCTCAAGTTAAGTTTATAAGTGCATGGGGAATAATCTTCATATCACATTCTTCCTCCAAGTCTTTCCATGACTAAGTCTAAGGCTACCTCTAAGCCAGTGCCCAAAGAAAGGTAGACCTTGACAACATCTCCCCTATACAGGGTGGATCGTAAGAATCGTCACCGGTCGAAATATAACTTGAATATAACTCCTTTAAACTAAGAAAATTTTGGCAGTGCTTCTTGTAGGAAAAGTGTCTTTTCATAATTTATACTGGCTTGAATACAAAAATATGAATAATATTTAACTCTAGAAGGTCAAATTTTGTCTAACTCCCTGAATTACTAAAAATTTGGGCAGCGTCTCCTTTAGAGAAGTAGACTTCGCAGATTTATACTAAGTCAGATAAGAACTCAACATACAATGTCGTAACAAATACCCTTACAAGGGTTTATACCCTTACAAGGGTATTTGGCGTGCTTTCTGCAAGTTATGGCAGTGCAGCCACGCCCGTCTGAAAGCGCGCAAGAGAGGAAGCTTGGGTCCTCGCCTCGATGAGTGGCACGCGGGGTATTGACGGCGAGGCGCAACCATGCGCAGCCTGGGTGTGCGCGGCGTCACAGACCGGCGGGATGCGCGACATTCATTCTTATTTTTATTTTTTATTTATTTACCTGTTTTTATTTCTTTTTCTAAGATCTTTAGATCGGTGATCAGTTTCGAGGCCAATGTCGAGACCGACGGGCCTAGCACTAGCGGTTATGGCGTCAGACTTTCATCAAAGAGATTCAAGGATCGAGATCGAGTGACGACGACGCGAGAATATCAGAGTAGTGCGAAGGGACCGAGGGGTCGAGGGCCCGACGAGGCTATCCCCATTGGTTTTGTCGTCGTCGGCGTCAGAACGACGCTGACAGTTTTTTTTCCCTCGGTCATCATGTCCTAATGATTAAAAGTTTCTAAGTAATTATTTTTAGGGTCGTATTCTCATTAATTTTATTCTCTGGCGTGCCTTTGACCTGGACGCAATGCTGGATTTAATGGCCGTCACAGCAGTCGAGGACCTTGAGTGTGCGCCTCGTTCGGTGGGTCCGTGTGTTCGGGATGCTGGCGAAAGTCCTCTACCATGCCGTGACCGAGAACAGGGCGCGCTCAGGGTTGAGTTTGAAATTGCAGTTAAGGCAAAATGGCCGGTAATGCCGAATGTATATGACCTACGCTTCGGGTCTGGTGAGATCGCATGGGGGTGTGTTGTATTCACGGGATTGCCTGAGGTGCGATTACAAACTGTTTTTCGTGACTGCGTCGAAGTTACCCCTCTATAGCATTATGGGGAGCCCCGTAGCAGCCACATCCGTGCTCAAGCCTCTAACGAAGGAACATGTGGGAGTTGCACCCACCAGCAGGTGCGATACCTGCTGCAACAGTTGGGTGATATCGGCCAGGGGGGTCAGCCGGTAGCATCGGGGCCAAGCTTTTTCGATGGGCCAGTCACTGTTCCTCCCCTCCGATTCCCTCCCCCTATGAGCATTAGTAGTCTCTATTCGCTGCCGCTCGAGAGGGGGGGGTGACCAATGGCATATCTTTAGATAGGGTGCGGCGGGGCTGGCCGGACAGCACTGCGCAACACCGGGAAGGGGCAATAGTGCAGGAGAGGCCGACGGGCGGACCGCTGCGGAGCGACAACCGGACGGGCACTGCGTTAGCAGCAGCGGGCAGCGCTAAGGAAGCAAAGCGAGGCAGCGTAGGGCCAACGCTAAGGCAACGGGTGGCAGGTGGTTGGACCGCTAGCGAGCAGCGGGGAAGATGGGCAGCGAACTGCTAGCAAGCGAGGAAGAGGTTGGCAATGGGCAGCATGCAGAGCGACGACGGGAAAGTGTTAGGACGGTAAGGCAAGACATGGGCGACGGGCGCTAGGCAAGCGAAGTGAGGCAGGGAGTGACGGGCAGCAGCGAAGAAGGTTGGAGGAGGGATTAGTAAAGGGAATGAATCCAGGAGCGTTTTCGCGCCGTATTCACTCGAAGAGAGGGGCTATGGAGAAGAAGCTGACCGTAGTCGAGAAGAGCATAGCTCTCCCGATCCTTAATGGAATCGAGAGAGGGAAGGGGCGATCCCGGGGTTTTGGCCTCAGGCAAATCGGACGGAGAAGTTATTTCGGCCAATAAGTTAGTGATGGATTCGGGCGGGATGAAGTGTTAGTCTAGGGTTTTTAGATCGGGCGAACCCGAATCTGTCGCCAGATGGGGACGAAAGTAAGTAGAAGAGATGATTAGCAGAGGAATGGAGCTACGTGGGGATGTCGAACAGACGGCTATGGCGAAGCGAAAAACTGTCTGATTCACTCGATTTTCGATGGAATCAAGTGAACTAGAATAATAGGTGGAGGTTTTATATGGCTGCGAATTAGATGGTGAAGTCAGATTAGTAAGAAAGTTACTCGAATGAGAGTGGTAGAGAGAAAGGAGACGCGAGGGGGTATCGCGGAGATTGTCGGGAAAGGGAGAGCACGAGAGTAAGAAGCATGTAT